CTCTCGGGTGGCCCGGGAGGAGGCGGCGGAGGAGGAGGAGGTGGAGGAGGAGGAGGAGGAGGAGGATGGGGGAGGAAGAGGATGAGGAGCCTAGAGGCGAAAGATCAGGAGAAGGAGGGCATTCTTTACGGCACCGGGTACAAAAACAGTACGAGAAAAGCACAGAAACGTACTCCGCCTGGACTGAATGCCACAGAACCAAGAATGCAGCGGCGACGGAGACGATTAACAGAGCAACACACAGGAGTTGTATGATGAAGTCCCGTTCGAATATGGTGCTGAAACAAGAATGTTGTGCCTCGCTGGCTCAGGTGTGCAAGCCGCACCCAAGCCAGCGAAGCAAAAGGGCAATCTTAGTATTGAGGACCTTCTAGTAGCCAAGTCCCGACGATAAAATTGCGAAAGCGATGGGAGCTAGGCACAGAGGACATTATACTGGCCAAGTCCGTCATAAACAATCGCGCGGAAGCAGAGTATTCGAATGGAGCACGCAGCTGTTCACTTGCATGCTCTGCTGTCCAAAACCTCCTGTTACACGAACATAGCCCGCGGAAGCAAGCGCAACTCACTCATTGGCATGCTTCGCTTTTCGTGTATATATATCCCTGACCATATGTCTTTCGGACATCGCATCAGAGAACATTGTCCGAGAATGCAAGCACCGGATGGCTTTGTCATGCGAGTCGCAGCTTTCCTCCTTGTTGAGGTCGCTGTGACGGAAATTCGGCACTGTTTTCTGGTGCCGCTCTTCGCTCAGCCTGACCGCCCTGTGGTCGTAGCTGAACTTCCCGCCCAAGATGTCGAGAATGAGATCGCGGCCGATGCCGCCCTTCGTCATGGGGTCGGCCCTCATATCTCGAATGTCGCACCAGATGTTGTAGCCAATCTGTTTGGTGCGGAGCTGGTCCGATAGCCACCGCAGGTGGCCTGCCATGCTGTCTTCCGGACCATGACCAAGGTGAACATGCCGCCCACGAACAAAACGGCCAGCATGGCGTAAACTCCATCCTCCCCCGGCCTCCTGATCTCCTATGCTGAGGCGGGTCTGCGCACCATCTCGGGGAACGTCATGAAGTGCGCCTGTAGGTCGTCGGCTGCGCCGCAGGCTGCGCGCAGTTTTGAGCAGAATAATGATCGACACGCCAATTTGCACGATCGGCTCAAACCATCTAGAAGGCGGCAGATCTGCTTACCAACGCTGCGAAACTTGCCCAGACGCATGCATACGGCACCGCGCATGCCGCAACTGGCCTCCTGCTCCTCGTGCTTGAACGAGCCGTCGCTACGCACGCAGAGGCGGCGCGCCCACTCCATCGCGGGGAGAGCGACGCGCGCCTTGATCTTCTGCGTGGCCAGAACGACGCCGTCGAGCTGCATCGCGCGCCTGATGGGCAGCTTGCTCTTCACCCATTGCAGTTTGACGATGTAGGCGACAACGCGGCGTTGCGCGAGCAGAGCGTAGGCTGCTGCTTTGAAGTGGGAACTGAACAGGTCTGGCAGCTGACCTCCGGCCAGCACGTCGGCCTTCGACATGACCAGGTCGACGTGCCCGACGGGGATCAGGGCGCCGATGCGCTCGCCCTGGTCGAGCACAACGGTGCCATCGGCACTGCGGCGTTGATGGACTCCGCAAGTGGTAACGGCGTCGTAGACACCCGTCATTTTGCCGAAGACGCTCTCGACGTGGCCGATGAGTCGGTCGACGTGCTCCTTGCGCCCAGCGACCTCGAGGTCGTCAACGCGCTTGATCGGCATGAGCACTCGCTCCGAACTGCCGGCGGCAAAGGTGCTGGACGCCTCGCGTTTGACCTCGAACTCACGGCCCGACCGCATTGGCTCGCCGCTGCACTCGGGAGAGCGCGCGACCCTGGCGAGCTTCATGGAGGAGGCTCTGGGCGCATCCTTAGAGCCAGGTGCCAGGCTCGACGCAACGCAGGCACTCGGTCCGTTCGTCGAGGGACTCGCAGCCTGGAACCTGCCAAGGGACGACAGCACTGCCAGGCGGCAGGGCGAAGTTCACCCCTCGAAATGCTTCGCCCTGCCCCTGCATCTCAGCGTAGGCCATGCCCTGCAAGAAGGCCTTCACGACGTCCACGGCGACGCGCACCCTGTCCAGGCGACGAGCCGCCTCGAGAACAGAATGCGCGGGGGCGCCCGCTTCGCCGCGCTGGCGAACGTCTCCAAGACTCCAGCGCCCACGTCGCGGAAGCCACTCAGCGCCATGCGGCGCCAGGTGATCTCGGCGGCCCTTCCGCCCGATCCCTCTCGGCGCGCCCACTTGAACACACGCGCGGAGCCCACGACGTTCCGAGCGCCCATGAGAGGGAGCCGCTCGAAACACTTGCACTTGACCCAGATGGCGAGCTTCTCCAGGGCGGTTGAGTGAAAAGTAAGGGTTGGAGCTTGCCCATGAGGTAATAAGCTGAGAACATACTCCCAGGATGACGTCGGCGACGCATCGGAGCACCCCATAGCTCACCCCTCGGCGGCAAACAAGACGAGAAGTAAGAAATACGCCATGAGATGGACGGGCGGATCATAGATAGACGTGGCCTTCGTCTGATACAGCGACCCAAACAGAGTCGCGCGCAGTCGCAGACCGGGCACGCAGGACGCGCAGTCTCGAGCCAAGACAGCGCCGGATGCAGCGCTCACAACACAGCCTCTCCTTATTAAAGCTGGGAGGGGGTGGGGCCGAGCGCTAGATCCAGGTCCCGACTAATTGAATCAAAAAAAAAGGATAGGGATATATATATATATATATATATATGTATCATCGCCCGTAAAAGCACACAGTCAAAGCGCAAAAAGGATAGCATAGAACATTAGCACAGGTCGCGGGCGCATCACCGCACGACCAGCCGCGGAATATCATGGGCAGTCACGGGCAACACCGCGCGACTAGCCATAGGCAATTAGGGGCGGGCGTCTGGCCAGATAGCCCGACGTCAAAGCGCGCAGCACGTGAGGGGATATGACCCAGCGGTCAGATCCCCTCAAAAACTGAAAAAATAAAGGCCCGTGTCCGGGCTGCCATGGTAGCCGTGGGCATATATGCCCGCGGCCGGGCAAGGATAACTACTCGTAGGCATGCATTCCCGCGGCCGGGCAAGGACAACTACGCGCATGCGTTTGAGTTGTCGTCCTCATACCTATCAACTGGCCCTGAGTAGGGAGGGCACCCCTATTGGCGCTGTATGTTTCTTGCCTCGACAAGGCATGTACTTCTTTACTTCGCACTTGAGGGACTGATTGCCTTCCGTAACTTGCAGCGGCAACGCCCGATCGACGCGCCCTTTGGCATGGCCATCAGCGGTCACGTCCCGCGCATCGCACCACTGCGCGCTATGAACAATACCTCGGTCCATCGTTTGTCTTATCCAGCTGGCGTGCCCCAGCAGGGTGCATTCGGTCGGCTTCTCCAAGTCCTTACTTGACAAAGATTTGAAAGACCGATTCAGTGTCCGTGGAAAGGACGGCCTTCACGCTGAGACCACCCAATACCAGAATGTCATGAAGTTGAGTGGGCGTTAGGGGTCCAGCCTTAAGATCATGTAGCGCAACTATGGTAAGGTAGCAATCCTCAATATTATGAGCGACAGCCAGCGTTTCAGCTGAGATGCCGGAACGCACCTGCAAGCGATACGACTTGCAGCGCGCACCGATCAGATGCACTAGAGCCTTGCCATCAGGCGCGCGCACGCGCAGTAAAAGGTGGGCCCCTCGGATGCCACATCCATGTACTTCGTCACCTTATCCCCAAGAAGGGGGGCGATATCGAGAATCACTGTTGTAAGGGCCCACCCCTCCTGTCGGAGTCATAAGCTGATATACTATCCTCTTTGGACCTGGCTGAACTTTGCGCGCGGCGGCGTGAAGTCGTCGCGCTCGGAGGTTATGCTCGCGCTCGTGCTCGTTGCAAGGATACCGCGCATACCATTAACCATACCTGAGCGATGAACGCACGCGCCAAGGCGGCAAGGAAACTGATGAATCCACGTTGGGCGCTGTCTTCGCCGCCTTTTCTTCGGTTACAGGGCCAGTGAGTTCTGGGCACTGCGTAGGGCGAAGCTGATTAGTCTATTCATCCTGATCTCGCTGGACGCGGCCGCCCTCGGTCATAGCGACGCGCAGGACACACTTGCTGTAACAGCTTTTGTTATGTTTCCATTCGCCGAACGCGCTTAACTTTAATGAATTTGTCTATCGCGCCCTCCACTCCTGCAACGTGCATGTCATCAACGCGACGGGCTGTTATGATGTTTGGGCTCGTCTCGGATTCTTCATCGCGCGACGCAAGTTTTAGCCCGAATCCTCGCGCGATGGTTCTGAGCTTCAAAGAGAGTGTCCTTGGGGCATCTTTGACGCCTGTGCCTGGCCCAAGACACCGACGGCGCTTTGACTCATAACGGGGCGAGAAGCCGGGCAGCGCACGCAGCACCGAGGCTGCAGCAAGTGGAAGAGCAAAGCCGACCACGCGCTCTCTCTCTCTCTCTCTCTCTCTCTCTCCAGCGGTTTCTTGCCAAACCTCGCTAGGTCAGACCCTGCAAGACAGCCTTATCGATACCTATGGACGCCACGATCCATTGCGTCTTGTACGCGGCCGCGCTGGCGCGCAGTCTCTGGCTTGCTCGACGAGCTGCACCTGCGGCGGCTTCTACGTCGAATGCTTCGACATCCATAGAGCCACGAAGAACAAGGCGCAATCGTATAGTTCGCTCCATATCGCCCTTGTCGTTCTTGACAAACTTCAAACTTCCCCTTGCACGCGCATCTAGATGTCACGATGCTGGCAGCATGTACGCAGTTCTGCATATTAAAGATTTGCTGACATATCATATGTTGAGCTCCGTGTGCAAACCCTTGGATATGTCGGGCTGGCCTGTATCTCTGCCTTCGCCAGGCGGTCGTTTTCCTCGACGACCGCGGCTCTTCTTGCGGCGGCTGACAGATACAGGCGCATTCCGGATGCTGGGCCGCTACGCAACGACTCGCAGCGT